TGTTTGGGAGAAGGGTTGTTGATCACTACACAGTGGGGCTGCAACCTCTCAAGTTGCTGCCAAATAGCATCTTGACCCTTCCACGTGGAAAAGTTGTATCCTGCCTTGAAATCCATAGGCGATGCAACTCTAACACCATTCTTTGAAAGGAACCCAGATAATCCACTGTTTCCATGAAGTAACTCAACAACATCAGGATGATCATCATTACAAAAGAAAAAGGACTGTTCTCCAAATTCGGCATCAACATACAGTTCGTGATCTTCACGTAAGTTCTCCGGATTCTCATCGTCTAATGCCGGAATGGAAACATCATGCCACTCATCGTGATCGCGTCTAACCTTCGACTGATTTACACGTACCACTGCCTTACCAGTGTTGGCTTGGACCATAGCTCCTTCTTGTCCAAGTACTGTGGCACGAACCCAACGTCCTTTATTCTTGAACTTTGATGAATCCTGAGTCCAAATAAAAACCTTCTCACCTTGGAAATAGGGACCGTCACTTGGCATAGTCCTTCTTGCAAGATCTGCTCGAAGGTCCTGAGCTTGTCGTGCTTCTTGATGAGCTCTCAAAGCTACACGTTGTAGTTCCAGATTTGTACGATCTTGTGCGGCTGCACTAGCTGACAATTGCTCAGGGCTTGCGGTCTCAAGGTCAAAAAGATCTGGTGGACGTCTCCCAGTTGCTATCTCTATTGGTGAATATCCACTGATAGTCAACTGACAATTCCTTGCCCACACTACCTTCTTGACCACTTCTCTGACCGTAACACCACGAAAACGTGGGTCATCCAGATCTACTTTCATAACATGCCACATACGTTTGAACAGACGTACAGCTGTCTCTGCTCGGTTCGGCCAAGGAGTTCTTGGTCCACAAGGACATTGTTGTATACCATGAAACCTGTAGTATTCAACAAAAGCATCTGTGAAAAAGGCTTCGTCTCCTACGATGGCCTTCGGAACACAATTGTTCTCATCAGACCATTGTCTCAATGCTTGGATGGTGGTTTGATCTATGAGGTCTTTCTGTGCCGTAGCCCAGAGAAGATTTGTGGCACCATCAAGAACAAGTAGAATGATATACTTGTTCTTGTGAAGTTCAACCTCACAATGATCAGCAAAAACAACATCACCAAAACATGAAGCTCTAATACCGGAGACTCTGGCTCGTGGCGGAGGTGCCACTGAAGTGTTACAAACACGGCAGTTCCTGACAACTGATTCATACTTCTCTAAAACAGAGTCAGGAAGCTTCAACATAGAAACACGTCTACGAAACTGAGTAGGACTCATATGGTAGTGCTTCACATGAAGCTTATAAAGCTCTACCTTGTCCTCCAGTCTCTGCAACATCTTCCTATATGCCGGTGTCATTGCAACAACTTCACTACCAGGTAATGGGATTGAAATCCGCCTAGGCTCAAGAGCGCCATCACCTGGTTCAAGTGGTTCATGTTTATCACTTGATGGTCCTTTTGATGCTTTAGGAATTTCTACAAGTTCACCTTCTGGCCTCTCAGGTGGTTCTGAAGGACTATAACCCTCAGGATCATCACCTTTTAAATCCTTTGGAGGCTCAGATGGTTTTGACTTGTGTCCCTTCCAAAATGGATCAAAACCCTTGGAAGTATACCGAAACTTTGGCGGCACGGGCTTTTCCGCGGCACTGGATGGTGCACCTTCCTTCTCTGAAGAGAAGCCTGGTTCCCTGTCCTTTGCAATGGGAACCTTCTCTGAGGAGGAGCGCACCACTGCATCGGGATCACCAATGCCACGGTGCTCAATGCCAGCCTTCCTGATCTTTAGATCTGGAATTTTGGCATCTGGCTTGAACTTAAAAATTGTTCTACCACGCCATTCATAGCCAATTTGTAGGTCCTTCCATTTTGCCTTGCGCCAATCATCTATCTTCTTGATCTCTTCTCCACCTTCTTTCTTCTTGATGATTGTCAGTCGCAAGTCTTCCAGCAAGTCAGTGTCTACAGGACAGGACTTAGTTGCTGGGAAAAGAATCTTCCTGTAATCCTTGTGGTGACGTGTCAGTTCTCTCTTGTGAAGATCTACTTCCCAGTAGTCAACCACAGGATATGCATGCTCAGCTTCATCTTCATCACTATTGTGGTCAACCGAAATATGGCCATATTCATAGTGAGTGAAGTGAGAGTAAAAACTCTTCTCACGCCGAGCCTGCAAACGCACGTCAGATAGATACCATGCAATATCTTGGAAGTCCAAAACAAGATGAGTACTGGCTGCAACCTTCAACTCCAAAAACTTGATACCAAGAGGCACCGATGTCAGATAAGCATGTTGAGGTGTCAGCCTGAGTTCAAAGCCTAAGTTCCTCATCTGTGGCAAGCTCATAAGCAAAGGGACTTCTCCTTCTTCAACTATGTCGAACTCTGTATGGTGGATCGTCCATGCACGATCATACATGTAAATCACCAGTTTCTGAGAGCAAGAAGCCTTCTGAGAATTGGCAAAGTAAAACTTGCTCTTGGTAGACTCAAAAGAGTACCATAGTCCACAGTCTGGGTGATTGTCGACATAGTTACAAAAGTAATCGACTGCACGCCTTGATCCCATCGCTCTAGTGCATCCAATGTCCAGGATTGCAATAGTTGGCGGGAAGCGATTCTCAGTCAAAAATGAAATAGCCTGCATCTCTTTCACTTCTTCCTCAGCGCTCATAAGCGCAAAGCCATCAGGAGCATCTGTGAGCATCTCCTTTGACAAAGAGTACCTCACAGGGGCACTCATGCCATCGAAGATCGTCTCACCATTGTTGACCTTACAGTCAGCTTCATCTTGACATGAGGTCATCATGCCTGACAGCAAGTCCACCTCACTGTCATGGACTTCAGCTACCGTTGTCACACAATGAGCAAAGAAACCTTGGTTGCTTCCTGATGCTTGTGAAGTTCTTGAAGGTGCAGGTAAAGAACGTGGCTGTTGTTGATTTGCATAGTTTGCATCTTGTTTGCCATCTCCTTTATCTTTTCCTTTTCCTTTCTTGCCTTTTCTCTTGCCTTTTCCTTTTCCTTTGTGGGAAAACCATGCTTCTTCAAGCTGTTGCCAAAAGTCATTGGCCTCTTCATATTCTCCTTGAAGATAGTCATTCATATCTTCGGCAAGAATAGCATCATATGCTACTTGATTTGACTCCCAAGTGTCCTCATAAGGATTCTCTTCAAAATACTCTTCTGGATATGTTGTCGGTTGCTCATCAGCATAGTGGCCTTTACCTCGTCTCTTTCCTTTTCCTTTTCCTCGAGGTCTGAAAAATCTGCGGCCTGATCTTCCTTTTCCTTTTCCTTTTCTTCTACCTTTTCCTTTGCCTTTTCTGGCTCTTCTTCCTTGGAATCTCCTCTGGAACCAAGAGAAGTTCTGTTCATCATATACCCAAAAGACATCGTCCAGGGCATCAAGGAATCCTTCTGTTCCATCTTCTTCATCTTCGGCCCAATAGCCAAATGTACCATCTAGTTCTCCTTCTTCCATCACGAGGAATGATCTTCTACCTCCAGCGCCTGTCGGCTGCATCAAAGGATTGTCTACTGAAGTCTTTGTCGTGCAGAACATCTCGATGAATACTGTCCTCAACTCTGTTGTAGTGTATTGCTGCAGGACCCTGCCACGATGAGTCATCAAAGAAGTCAAAGTGTTTCGCTGGTCCTGAGACAAATCTGCAAGTGACAGCATGAGTAAAGCAATCAGATTTTCTCCCAAAGGAAAATCGTTCTGATGAAAAGTTCTCATATTGCCATTGATGGTCTGCATGATTTCCTGAATCCTTTCTGCCGTTGGAGCTACTCCAGTCAACGCTGCATCAGCCTGCATCTGAGCTTGTACCTGAGGATGTACTTGTGTTACTGGATCCAACATGTCCATCCAACTGCTCATAAGCCTTTGGAGTAGGATCTGAAATCTTGTCATCCATTTCATCATATCAGCTGATCCGCGATTGAAGCGCACGAATTGCATAAACCTATACAGGAATACATTGGTGGATCCCTTCACAAAATATGGACGTAGTACTCGTTTGAAGTATTCTACTCCTGCTCCTGGTGGATCATTCGCTTTCAATGCATCTCTGTCTAATACTCGCTTGTATACAGCTGCTTCTCCTTCTAGTCGGTTTCTCAATGCTGGTCCTCTCTTCTCATCCTCCAGCTCGGTGATATCACGCCAATCGTCTATGGCATCCTCATAGGAAAACCATGAAGTCTTTCCATCATAAGATGGGGGCACCTTTGTAGTGACCTGTGTTGTCATAGCTATCGCTGCTGGTTCTCTTCTCACATGCCTATTCACATAGGCTGCTGGCTCATAAGCCACATCCGCATCAGGCTCTTCCCAGTCGTCAATCCAATCCATGGCCGTTTGCCCACAAGCAATTCTATGCCTAGGAAAGGAGCTCACCTGGGTCTTCCAGGATCACTGCTCCGCTACCACTGAAAGAGTGACTAGGGCGTACACGGTAGAGGTGCAGACCGCTAGTGTCTTTTGCTCACGCAGAGTCTTATCCTATATCTCTTGAGCCTTATGGCAGTCAAGCATGGACACACTAGATAGGCCACTGGAGTGGAACCTGTACAAGTAGGCTCTACCTTTCAAGGGGAGAGGGGCGGAGGGGAGGGGGGGGGGGTTAGGATTTGCACCCGGTCGAAAGAAACCTTGCTATCGCGTGATTAGAATAAAAATGTTCAAAGAAACCGATCTCTGGAACCAACACAAGAAGATCCCGTGCATCGCTACTAGTACCTCAAGGGCAACGCTACTTAGGAGCAAGGACGCTACTAGTAACTCAAGTGCATTACGACTATAGTCGCAACTAGCTACGAACGTAGCGTCCTCTTGCTACTAGCAAGAAGAAAGACGGTAGAAGAGGGACAGTCGGAAGGCCTGGCCTGTCATCTCCTCGCTCTGGGCCGTCAAATCCACGACTCCTCCGTCGAGTTCTCGACGGATCTTCGAGAAGCTGAGTCTCCAAACTTCTGCAGCACTGAAGGCCAGACCTGACGGTCTGATACCAACATAGAGTTGTGAAGAAACTTCACTTCAATGAGCTTACACCGACACCACCAAACAGCTGAAAACAACATGTATGCTCAGCTTGATCACTGGGGTATTCTGCGGAGTCGAACAAAACTTTAAAACAAAATGGAAAACTAAGTCTTTAAATCACTTCTCACTGCCACACATCAAGCATGTCCATGCAATTACAACGAGCAAACACCATGCGAATTCGGAACATCTCACGGATCTCGCGGATCTCCCTGTCCAAGGGCCTCGTTTGGTCTGGTAGGAGCTATCTATGAAAAACGTCTGGACACCACGTTCAATAGCAGAATGTGCCTTCTGCGGCCGAAAGCCGCGGTGCATCTTTACTGAGCTGGTCAAGGTCAACCTGAGCTCGTGCAGGTGTCGTTTGTTATGTTTGTTCCTGCAGTAATAAGTTTGCTTTGCTTTGAACTTTGGGCGCTCCCTCTTATGTTTCAGGCCATTGCTCTTAGGTTGGAGGCCTTCGCTCTTAGGTTAGAGGTCATCGCTCTTAGGTTGGAGGCCATCGCTAGTAGTTGACCCTTCTTCTCAGGCTTTGATCAATGTTTGATCAGCGGGGTTCTTGACTGCTGGACAACACTGGGTAAGGTGCCATGAAGAATGCTGTACACTGATTTGGACCACTCACAAAAGTTGTATATCAATTTAGGCAAACCCAAATAGCGAAGCCGCAAAAGCGCAAATGCAAAAGCTTCGCCAAAGCAGGACCAGCCTCCCGATGGAGATCGCCCTGAAAGCAGGGCAGGAGGTCTGATGAAACATGATCAACATTTGCAAACGTGATCATTGATTGAAAGACAAGACTGATCATGATCAATAGATGATTTGATGGCTTCACTTCTGCTTGATGTGACTTTGTTTGTCCAACAAAAACTCATCGTCTGGGATTTCAGTCCTCGCCCATCTCCTCGTCTGAGGAGGCCGCCCGCTCGATCGCCCGCCAAGCCTTGATTGAGGTCGAGCGATCATACCATGCGCCGGACGTTCACTGTTTGAGGAAACCACCTTGTTAGAGATGGGTACGCCGGGAAGCTGTGAATTCAGCCATGTTCTAGAGTTTATTTTTGATATACCGATATCATCTACTTCCCTGAAGCCACGTTGGAAATGAGCTTGTCGGATCTAATGAAGGGATATCTCCGTGGTTTTTTTGAGTTTATGCTGACACGATACGTGCTACACGTTCCCATGTCACTAGGGTGCGAAGCGGCTTTGTTTTTGCCAAGTCTCAGAATCACAGTTTTGTCACTAAACAATCAATGAATTGCATGGCTGGTTGAAGTACGTAGTACGTAGTAGCAGTATGCAGCAGTAGTAATCCAGCATGTCTCAAATTCATTGAACCATCCTGCTTGACGTCTTTATGAAGATCTGACAATCTGAAACATGCCAACACTCCGAGGCTTTGCAAAAGGAAGGTGTGCAGGTAAGCTGTAAGAAATGAACGTCAAACCTGACGCGAAACAATGCACCTAGCACCCGGCTCGTTCTAAAGCTTCCTCATCGCCGATTTCCAACTGATGCAATGAAGTGCGCAGTGCTAGACGAGTCTCAACTTGACTGGGTCTGATGAAGGTCTGACCATGCGCATGAATCGTTCTTGGTACTCTCATGTGTACACTTCTAGAATGCTTGAATGAAAAGGGATGTGGGCTGTCCATGCCTAAGTGCCCCTGCGCCTCAATTCCATGGCCAAATGTATTTGCCGTGGCAATTCCAAAAGAAGTTGCTTAGAAGGAGTCCACGAGAAAACTTGATGCTCATAGCCATGCTGACTCTGGCTATGGGCCATGGCTCAAAAAGCGAGGCCCTCACACCTACAACATGTCTCAGCAAGAAGGACATGCCTCTTCAGCAGAATCAGGCTTTCCGTAGACCTTGCGAAAACAAGGCGACAAAACGACTCAGGCTGCAACGACTCCGGTCACCGACATAACACGATCAAAATGCTGATGGTTTGCCTTTGGTGACTGCTTCTTCCCTGGTTCTCCACGAATGGACTCAGTCTGCACCCGTAAAGAACTGGTGCTTTCAAGGCAGTCCGATCGCATCCGATCTACGAACGGAACAAATGGAACAAGAAGCTACGAACGGAAGACCAGGGGCATCGCTACGAAGGGAGCGATCAGACGCTACTAAGTAGTTCCCATGTTTTCCACTCCGCGAGGTCCCCCAGACGAGGTCCATCATGGTTCAACGCGGAGTCTCGAAGGGACAAGGACTCGACAGCTGACTCGAGGCGCGACAAGGACTCGCTCCAGAGGGCTCCAGAACGTGCTACAAGATCGAAGCAGAAATGATGTGACAACAGATGAACGACATGCAGAAGAAGGCATATATAAGAAGTTAATTACACGACCTCAGAAGTATGGAGAATTGGAAGCCTGGCCTGAAACCAAACTTGCAGCTCTTCTACCGAACTTCAAACCTTCAAAGAAAACTGATCTCATACCTCCCGAAGCGTCTTCTGGACAGCGAATTCTCTGGGGCTTTTGCGTCCGCAAGAATTGTAGCCCTTTCCTGTCGAAGTTTGCATTCTTAGCACTTCTTAGCACACTCTGCCTTCACTTCTCGCTTCAAATTCAGTGAGTCATCGACCCCTTGCTCCTGCTCATCGACCACTTCCTGGTCAGCAGTGCGGCCATCTACGGACTCGTCCTCTTTGCGCCTCACGTGGACCACGCAGGCGAGGGAATGAGAGGAATGAATCGCAGTGTCAAGGACTGTGGGAGCATTTTCCAGAAATGGCAATGAGGTTTCCGTGTTGGCGTATATCTGTTGATTCACATCACCGGTGAGGAGCTATTTTAACCTGCTCTTTTGTTCACAAGTGTGGTGATGCGCCTCTTCATCCTGCTTATATAGATCCCCAATAGATAGTGTCCAATACGTGTCCCATACGTTCCCTCGCGGGGAGAACCTTTGGGGGTCGAACGAGTCCACCGTGCCCCCGGTACGTGGCACACGACCAACGCGTCGCACTGTCGCACCCATAGAAACAGCTCAAGAGCTTCACCAGCACAGCACCTCGGTGCTAAACACCACGTGTCTGTTGGGGGGTGGGGACAATCCATGGGACATCAAAAGAAGAATGAGAAATATCATACCTTCAGCCACACTCCAAGTTGGTCAAGGTGCCAAGTTGTTTCAGGAAATCACATCTGACATCATCGAATTCTGGATCAAAACATGACCCCGAAGACCCACATATACTGTAAACATGCCGCAACAAACCGCACTCATTGTTAGAGATGAATGGCTGACTGATTGACGATGCCCAAGTCACATATCACTACGAAGAGGAAACCTGTCCCAGCAGCAAGACCTGGCATTCCAACAGCCGTCTGTCCACGACTGCGAGGGGTGGCGATACCGTCTGAGACGTTGAACTCAGCTCGTTCATAGTATGTATATATATATATACATACAAACCCCCAAATAGAAAAGTAAACACCCACTAAGAATGTATTGGAAACCGTTTCTATCTATTTGGGGATCAGTATACTAACTACTAACAAAGAAACGTGGAAATAACCTGGGCGTATCATGACGTGTCAAAAAGAAGTTATTCAGGATACCTTGCAGGAAGGCTATATTTTGTTGTGGAGAGAGAACCTCATGTCTGAGGATATTATCGCAAATGCTCGTTCACAAATGCTCGTGGCCAGCTCTTGATGAGTCTTCGAAAATTGAATGAATGATGGAGCTACAATGCTTTAGTACAGTGCTGTATGAGATGTAACATCCTAGGCTCCAGTCATCTCTGTCTAGAGAATTCCTTTTGCGTCATCCACCCGGTCACCCGGTCCCCTCACAACCGCCACTTCGCCTATCTGCAAGCGCTGCTGAAAGACTTCATCGGAGGACAAGTGCTCGGCTGGTGGCCTGTCGAGCGAACTTCACGTGGTTTTGATGTCCCAAAAGCCACCACTTTCGCTCAAGGTGGGTGGATTTGCTGTGGTGCTAAACCAGCGTTGTCGCGCTGCTCAGCAGAGTGCTTTTTGACACAACTAACAGCTGTGTCTCTTCGGGTGTGGCTCAGTTGGCACCGGCGCTCGCAAGTCCTTGACACCGCCCCTCGGAGCAAAAGCAAAAATGTGTCCCGACGCCCCGACCAGAATCCAATTGGACCAAATTCCATGTTCCTTTTCAGGTTTAATTCAACTTGTGTGTGTGTGTGTGACACGAGGTCCCCTTGGTCCCTGTGTTGGATTTGCGTACCTTTCCCACCCGGTCCCTGCGCCCTGCTGCGCCCTGCTGCGCCCTGCTGCGCCCCCCCGTCCGATGCGTCGTAGATGAAGACGCGCAGCGGGGAATGCAGCAGCGGCGGTGCATCGTCATCCGAAGGTCCGCTGGCAAGAGTGTCCACGCGTCTCTTGATGGCATCGTCTCGTCTTCAGACTGGAAGCGAGTCGCGGGTGAGCTTGAGCTGGGTTTGTCTCTCTGCTGAAACTTGCGGGGGTGTGTTCTGCCACAAGGAGTGTTGGCTGGTGGAAAGGCGTGGCGGAGGAGATTGCCGGGAGCCTTGGGAGTGAGTCTCTGGAGCTGTAAAGACAATTTTTTTTGTTCTGCCGTCAGAAAGCGACGTTTGGCACTCACCGAGCCGGTCTGAGGACAATTGTTGGGTCAGTTTTGGTTTGGCAAATCCTGTCCGCCGCTGAGCCGCAGACCGCTGCTGGCCAACCGCAAGCAGGTAAGAACAGTGTGAGCCACCAAGAAACATCAACAGGAGAAAACCATAGAAAACCCCCAAACAAATGGAGTGGTGAAAAAATATGACCAAGGTCGACCAGCCACATGATGGGGAACAGCCCCAAATTGTCTACCATGGGCTGGGTGTTGCTCAACAAGCATCGGCCAGGAAGTAGACATCGCGAGGGTTGCATGGCAGGCTGATACACCAGCGATACCGGTGGATACTTCAGCGGTGCCGGGCTGATACTTCATCGCCGGGTATCTTTGGGTTCATTAAGTTCAGCATCATGTCATCGTCAACATCATTACCATCATCATTACCATCAATCATCAATCATCAATCATCAATCATAATCATCATCATCATCATCATCATCATCATCATCATCATCATCATCATCATCATCATCAGTAGAAACGGCGATACTGGTCAACATGCGTCAGCATGTGCCAGCATGTGTCAATCATGATGGGCTTGACAGCACAACAGCCCAGAAATGACTGGAAACACGCAACACAACAGCAGCAAATACGGCCGTGGCATGATGTCACCAACATGAGACAGAAACAAGTATGATCTCAGCCCAACTTCGAGACAAAAATAAGCTCCATGCATCAGGATTTCCCTAAAACAAGGAACACCCCCAACCCATTCAACTGGCAGGATGTGGTCCGGCCACCAAACCCAGCCCAGCGTCATGAAGCTATGCCTTGGTTCAACCGATCAACCGCAGTGATGGGCGATCTTGGGCAAAGGCCACGGATATGCATGGTACATCATCGAACGATCGGCCCGATCGTGGAAGCAGCCAGCCATCCTGAACCCTTTAAACATGAAGTCATAGTGAAACACCATATTGTAAGTGCATGAGGGGCAATGCGCATGTAACCCCGTATGCATGCTGCCTCATGGGTCACCGATGGGCACTCAAAACCTGCATGTTTGGATGGCATAACCCATAGTTTGGAAGGTGAAAAGCATGCAAAAGTAAACATGTCCATGTTTACGCGATTCTTTTTGGGGGGG